GCTCCCTGGTTCTCCGTTTTTCCAGGGAGGAGACCACCGGGAGCGGGTGGGGGGGGCACGGTGGAGGATTTTGTGGCATTTGTTGATTTATTTCTATTATTTCCCCCCGTTTTCTCCCAGCCGAGGGCTCACGGTTCCAACAGGGAACAACCTGCAAAAACGTCGCCTCTGGCCGGGGGCTGCAGCCAAAGCGATGCCTGGAGCCGGAAAAAATTCCCAAGCTTTTGTCCCGAGAGGTCCAAAAAGGAGCAGATCCCCAAAGTGACTTCATTGCTCCCGGCTCCGGAGCCGGGACGGGACCCCCGAGGGATCCGCTTGGACCAGCCGGGAGCTTCAAGCCCAGAATCCCATTGGGAATCTCGGTGCTCCGGCTGGTACTTTCTGTTGCATCCTTCTAGGAAGGGAGGCAGCATCCCTGTGGGCCTGAGCAGCCAGGGAAAACGGGGATAACGGGCCGGGATACCTCGCGCCAGGGCGCTGGTTGGCATAGCAGCGCTCCGGGGAGCTGGAAAACCCGCTGGAAAGAAAGAAAACAGGGAAAGCGGTTCCCGGCCCGGGAAAAGGGGGCGGAAAACCGGAGCGAGGCCGGGAGAGGCTGGCGGCCGGACTCTACCCCCGCGCCGCGCGCTTGAACTTTGCAATGGAGCGAGGGCAAAGGGGGACGCGGGAGAGCCCTCCGGATCCCCGGCATTCCCCGCGGGAATCCGCCTGGAATGAACCGGGCTTTAAAAGCAGATGGAAGAGCCGGGGGGGGGCGGGTTTGTCCCCAAGGGGCCGGGTGAGAGCCCCCAGCGGGCGGGTTGGTCCCCAAGGTGCCGGGTGAGGAGCCCCCATCCCCGCGGCGGCACCTGGCTCCTATCCCGGGAGCTGGAAACGGAATATCCCGGTGAGCGCCAGGCCCGGCCGGGAGATAAGGTTTCATGGGAGCACCTGGTTAGTCACCGGGGAGCCCGGCCCGGCTCCTCGGAGCAGGAGCCGGGATGAGTCACCGGGAAGGGGGATCCGCTCCCCACGGATACGCCGGACACCTGGAATTGCACCGGACACCTGGCGGCCGAACGCTCCCCAAAAACAGGGATGTTTCCTGGGGGGAAAAACAGGGGTGGGAAGGCGCTGGCCCCGCTCCCAGGGATCCCTGCTGCTTCCGAGCGGGCATTTTGGAGGCCGGAGGCAAATCCCGGCGCCTCCCCACCCCCTCGCGGCCGAACGCTCCCAATCCAAACAAAAGTGCAGGGGGGATCCGGGAGCGCCGGAGGGTCCCCCCCCCTCCATCCCGGCGCCGTTTTGGCGGGATTTCCGCCAGGCCGGGAGGGAGGGCGAAGGTGGGAGGGGGAGAGACTCCAAGGAAATTTTAAACTGCATCATCAAGCGCTTAAAAATAACCGGCGCCGGCTCCGGCCTCCCCACGCCCCTTAAAGAGGCCGCCGGGAAGCGGCTCCGGCGGGATGAGGATCCCGGCACGGCGGAGGCCGCGGGCGGATGCTCCCGGCACCCAAAGGGCCCCACAAACCGTGGGGGGTTTCGCAAATTTAGCCACCAAATAAGAGGGGAAGAGGCAAAAAAAACTCCAATTCCCTCCCTTTGGCAGCTTGTCCCGGGGGATCCGGGATGGGAATCATCCGGCTGCCCTCAAAGTGCGGGATGCTCCGCAGGGGACCCCCCCAGGTGGCAGGGGGACATTTTATAGGGCGACAAGGGGGGGTTGATGCCAGGGCACATGGTGGCCCCGTCCTGGCAGTGCCACAGCTCGGCAGGTGAAAAAAAATATATATATACATGCGTATATACATATATATTTTAATGATCTTAATGCTGCTTGGAGGAGCAGGTTGCAGCCTCGCGGAATCGCATCCCGCTTTCCCGGGCCGAAATTCCCGGGGGCGACCTGGCGCCACTCAGAGAGGTGCCAAAAGCTGCGAAAACCCCCAAAATGACCCAAAAAAAACCCCAAAACGGCCCCAAACGGCGGCGCGCGGCGGGGCGGCCCCGCAGGCCGCACACGTGTGTCCCGAGCGGGCCCTGCGTGATCAAGCTGCGACCGGCGGCGCGCGGCGGCGGCACCGCAATAACGCCGAAAAACGCCGAAAAACGGGCATTAAACCCCCCCGGCGACCCCGCGCGGCGCATTGTCCCCGCGCCGCGCTGCCTTATAAACACGTTTTTAAATATAATTATTGTTAAATATGATGATAAAGTGCTGCCCCCCCCCAGTGAACAACCGCGCACACACGACCGCACAGTGTACAACCGCACAGTGTACAACTGCACAATGTAAAACCACACGGTGTACAACCGTGCACACACAACCGCGCAGTGTACAACTGCACAGTGTAAAACCGCGCACACACAACTGCACAGTGCACAACCGCACAGTGAACAACCGCACAGTGAACAACCGCGCACACACGACCGCACAGTGTACAACCGCACAGTGTACAACTGCACAATGTAAAACCACACGGTGTACAACCGTGCACACACAACCGCGCAGTGTACAACTGCACAGTGTAAAACCGCGCACACACAACTGCACAGTGCACAACCGCACAGTGAACAACCGCACAGTGAACAACCGCGCACACACGACCGCACAGTGTACAACCGCACAGTGTACAACTGCACAATGTAAAACCACACGGTGTACAACCGTGCACACACAACCGCGCAGTGTACAACGGCACAGTGTAAAACCGCGCACACACAACTGCACAGTGCACAACCGCACAGTGAACAACCGCACAGTGAACAACCGCGCACACACGACCGCACAGTGTACAACCGCACAGTGTACAACTGCACAATGTAAAACCACACGGTGTACAACCGTGCACACACAACCGCGCAGTGTACAACGGCACAGTGTAAAACCGCGCACACACAACTGCACAGTGAACAACCGCACAGTGCACAACCGCACAGTGTACAACCGCACAGTGCACAACCGCGCACACACAACTGCACAGTGTACAACCGCACAGCGAACAACCGCACACACAACACCCACCCAGAACAACTGCACAATGTAAAACCACACGGTGTACAACCGTGCACACACAACCGCACAGTGTACAACCGCACAGTGTAAAACCGCGCACACACAACGGCACAGTGTACAATCGCGAAGTGTACAACCGCACAGTGTACAACTGCACAATGTAAAACCACACGGTGTACAACCGTGCACACACAACCGCACAGTGTACAACCGCACAGTGTAAAACCGCGCACACACAACGGCACAGTGTACAATCGCGAAGTGTACAACCGCACAGTGTACAACTGCACAATGTAAAACCACACGGTGTACAACCGTGCACACACAACCGCACAGTGTACAACCGCACAGTGTAAAACCGCGCACACACAACGGCACAGTGTACAATCGCGAAGTGTACAACCGCACAGTGTACAACTGCACAATGTAAAACCACACGGTGTACAACCGTGCACACACAACCGCACAGTGTACAACCGCACAGTGTAAAACCGCGCACACACAACTGCACAGTGTACAGCCGCAAAGCGTACAACCACACACACACCACCGCACAGTATACAACCACACAGTGTACAAACACGCACACACAACCACGTAGTGCACAGCCGCACAGTGTACAACCGCGCACACACAACCGTGCAATGCACAACCGCAGTGTACAACTGTGCAGTGTACAACTGCACACTGCACAACATACAACCGCAAAGTGTACAACCACACAGTGTACAACTACACAATGTAAAACCGCAGTGTACAACGGCGCACACAAAACTGCGCAGTGCACAGCTGCACAAACGCAACCACGTAGTGCACAACCGCAGTGTACAACCACACACACACCACCGCACACTGTGCAACTGCGCAGTGCACAACCATACAGTGTACAACCGTGCACACACAAGCACAGTGTACAACTGCGCTGCACACAACTGCACACCACAACCACACACGCACCCCCGGCGCGTGTACAACCACACAGTGTACAACTGCACAGCGCACAACTCCGCACAGCCGCACAGCACACAACCGCGCATGCTCCCTGTGTGCACATACAACCACACCGCGCAGAACCACACACACAACCGCACAGCGCACAACTGTGCACACACAAGTACACCGTGCGTAACTGCACAGCACACAACCACACACAACCCCCCACATGCACACAATCACACCGTGCACAACCGTGCAGACTCCCCATGTGCACACAACCGCACGACACACAGCCATGCAGTGCACAACCGCACACACACCCCCACATGCACTACCGCACCACGCACACCCCCCACATGCGCACAACCGCGCCATGTACAACCGCACTGTGCACAACCGCCCACACACTCCCACCTGCACACAACTGCGCAGTGCACAACCGCACAGCACACAATCACGAACACACCCCCATGCATGCACAATTGCAGCGCACACAACCGCACCATGCACAGCCCGACCCACGCGGTTGTCATGGATCGTGGCGGGTGTTGGGGACATTGTGATCGAGGGCTTGAACAGAAGGGACAAAGCGGGAGGGAAACAGGGATGGTCCTTCCTCCCATGCGGCGCGGGGCATCGCCCGAGGTTGGGCTTTCCTGCCGAGGATGTTCATTTGCCTCCACCATGGAGAATCCCATGGGAAGAAGCCCAGATCCCGCACTGCAGCCACCCAGGCGAAGGCCCCTTCCCACCTCAACCTGCCTCGGAGCAGCCCGAACAGCCCGAAAAGCCCCGGAATTCCCACTTCCCTGGGAGATGGGGCCCTTCCGACGCCGCGGAGCTCCGCACATTCCAGCCACGTTTCCATGGAGGCTCCCGGCGGCCGCTTTCATCTTTTGTTCCCCATCATCGCAGGGGGTCCATGGCTGCTGCCCTGGCCGGGAGGTCGTTGGGTTTGGAGTTTTTAATGACTGGGGCTGGGGAAACAAGAGAAAACAACCCCCGAAACAGGAGGGTTCCTGCAAGGCAGGAATCCAGGAATTCTACGGACAAAGATACCGTGGAAGGGACGGAAATGAGCAGTGGGGACACGGATGGAGTTTGGGGGGTGTTTGTGGCCTAGTTAGCGGGAAGAGATGCAAAGAAAGAAGGTTTAAACATTAATCTGCAGGGGGGAAAACTGCTGCTTCGCTGCAGGCGCCGTCTTGGGGTCGGGTCCCGCTGATCAGGGCTTCTCCATGGACTGGGAAAGACGGGACACACGGAGCCGCCATTTCCATGGGAAACTGGGAATTGCGGGGAAAGGGGCTTTGCGCCATCATGGCAACTGACACGGAGTTTTTATTTTGCTTCCTGACATCTCCATGTGGAAAAGAATAAATAAATAAGAAGCCCTCCTTTAATAAAGCAGAAAACTCCACCATGAGAAGGTGGCGTGGGGGGAACAGACCATGGCCCTTTACCACGTCCAAAGCGGTGAGCGTGTGTATTGTACCTCGCGTGTCGCGTTGTGCTTTAATCACCCGTGTCAGCGCCGTGGGGCTGATTAACAAAATATTTAATTGGGCGCCTTAATTCCGCAAAGGAAAAGGGGCTCCCAGGGAAGGGCCGCCCTCCCGCCCG